TGTTCAAGCCAGAATGAAAACAAAGTGATTTAATAAAATTGTCTTTAAAGGGGGAAAGAGGAAAATAAACGTCTGCTCTGCTCCTCTCCCTGGTGTTCAGGGAGGCCCCAAGCCCTTCAAAGTTAATTAAAACAGGAACTAAAACCACAGAATAGTCTACCAACCCTTTTCCCATCTCCACTTTAAAGGTAAGGCAGCCCCCAGAAGCCCTGCCTTTGGCCAGGAACTTGAGGCTCCCCTGTTCTCAGGCTCAGGTTCACCCTGAGACCAACCCTCATTCCTGGCAGGCACCCGGGCCTTCCTGCAGCCATGCCTAGGGGAGGAAGCTCTGTTCCTTTCCTCCTCCCAAAGAGTCATGAAAGGCCTTGTCTGGACATTTGAATTCCTTGATGGACACTGGTCCCCATCAGAAGCTTCCGGCCCTTGCTTCCTCCCAGGACATAGCCTGCCCCTCCCCACAGGTCCCCTGAGTCCCCAGCTGCTCTGAGCTTTATCTGTCTTCACTGACCCCCTGGCCTGGTCCTCAGCTCCAGCTCAGCACAGTTCCGGCTGCTTCCGCCTGGTCTGTATCTGTTCCCCATCAGAGGCCCCATTGGAGCTCCAGCCCTTCAGCAACCCAGATAAAAGAGATGGATGGAGGTGAGTTTGGGGGATGCCCCTCCCTGCAAGCACGGAGCTAGAGCCCTGGGCTGTGACAGGGGCTCCCTGAGGAGGGCTGAGGGTGAGGGTGAAGACTGCCAAGTTCTCTGGAAGCCCAGTTCCTACCCATCCCCACCCTGCCTTAGCCTTTTCCCTCCTCCAAAGGCCCAATTCCTAAGGCCTCCTCCAGGCAGGCACCAAGACTGCGATCACCCCATCCTCCAACACACACTTCAGCAGAATGCTCAGTACTAGGTACCCCACCCCCATCTCCATGCAGCTTACCTGCCCAGAAACAATAGTAGAAAAATAACCATTTATTGAACACCTTTTGTGTTCCAGATACATTGCTTATAAGATCTCTACTGTCATCACAACCCCTACAGAGGAAGTTTTATATTATTTTTCAGAGGAAGACACAGAAGAAGGGAAGCCAAGAAAATCACCCAGGGTATGCACTTAGAAAGCCATAGAACTGAAATTCAGTACAGGTTTGAATGTCAGTGATGTGCCCTGGCCAGGCTGTCCTTGACCTCCGAACCCTAGTTCTGCCCCCAAAGACCTATCATTGGCCTTCAGAGACCACTGCCCCTGAGACCCCCCACCAGTACCTCCAGAACTTAAACCCTTCTGACACCAGTTCACACTGTGGGGGAGGGGCAGGGGGAATGGGGGAGCCAGACTTAGAACCTGGGTCCCTGCAGGGCCAGCTGAGTTCAGGAGGCCTGTGGGGCTTTCTTCAGCCCTGCTTCAGTGATCTGGGATGGGAGTGGGGGTGGGAGGTAGGAAATATTTGTCCCTAGGTCCTCAACTCTCATCCTGGGAGACCCCGTCACTTCTCACAAAGACTCTGTCTCTTCTCCCAGGGACCTCCAGACCCCACTTCAGCACCCTCAAGCCCGTGCTGCCTCCCAAGGCGCTACCCACCAAGGGACAGGTGAGATTTGATTGTGGAGTAGCATTTGTCACCCAAACTGGCTTTCCTAACTGTTTGCCCTGTTTGGAGAGCCTTCAGTCACTCACATGGCAGAGAAGATGTCAAAAAACAAAACAAACAAATAAAAAATCCAGGCCAAGAGCCAACCCATGTCTTCAGCCCCTCCTCCACTCCTCTGACCAGTGGGGACACAGCCTAGGGATCTAAGCCTTCAGCCCTGGGAAGAAAAGAGAGACTGCAAGAAGGGAAGAGAGGCAATGAAGGGACAGAAATCCTGGTTTTAGGGTGAACTAGTCAGGAATGAGGTGTGGCCACAGACCAAGGCTGAGGATGGTACCTGAAGACTTCTGGTCTTGACTGCATCTGGAAAACATCTAGCAAAGGAGGGAAGGAAGGAAGAAATCATTCAGAAGCACCTTTCCTAATTCAGTCCCAGGAATGTGTGGGTGTATGTGGGGAGAGGGAGTCTGTGACCTTTTCCAGGTCCAGGCCTCACCCTTATTTGAACCCCCTGCGCTGAGCCCAAACTGAAAGCTGGTAATGGCAACGGGGCGGGCAGTGGCCCAGGTGGCTGGGATGAGGCTTCATGGTACAGTGGTGTTGGGAGCCGGGCCTCACCTCGCCTACCAGTGAGTCACCTGAGCCAGGCCACGCCCTGGAGCCTATACTGTTCTCCTCTGCCACCAGCACATCTGGGACCCAGCCTGAGCAGAGAGAAGATGAAAGAACACAGGGGCCCCAGCATGGAGAAGGGGGTTGGAGAGAAAGGCAGGGATGACTCCATCTGAGCTGGCCTCCAGGTTCTATCCCGAGACTGCCACCAGAGCCTCTATCTCTGTACCATCCCTGATGCTGACCTCATTCCTCCCCCTGGGCCCCCTCTCTCTCTATCTACCAGCCCATCCCTCCCAGAGTCCTCAAACCACCCTCCATTATCCACAACTGACTCCCAGAGCTCCTACCACTACCTTCCAGACCAGATCCCTCCTAGTCTCTACATGCCCCCACCACTGCCCTCAGAGAACTCATTCCTACCCCTAGCTTCCCAGACCCCATTCCCACTCATCCCAACCATCATCCTTGCCTCCCAAGATGCTTTGCATTGAGATGTGAGAGTAACATTAACATCTCATTACCCTGTGGATTTCCATAGATGTTCACCCGTTTAGAAAGAATCTAGTCATTCAGAGGGCTGAAGAAGTGACCAAAATACATCCCAGAAGGTAATCAGCCTATGTCTCCAGCCTCTTTCTCTCTGCCTTAAGATGCCTGCACACTTAGAATAGAGTCCTAAGTGACGGGACCTGAACTTTTGAGCAAAAAAGAGCTCAAGGAATCTCCAAGTCCACCAGAGGAGGGTTTAAGCCTGTCTGCCCCTCACATGTGTAGAAAGAGTTACACATACATGTGTACATAATCCTGTACACACACACATATATAATTATTCTAAGTATATGTACATTCACATGCACACGTTACAACAGAATGTAAGCTCTGTAAGGTCAGGGACAATGTGTTTTTCTGTGATGTATCTCCAGTTCCTACAACAATGTTGGCACATGACAAATATTTGTTGAAAGAAGGGCACATAATGGAACACATACTTGCAAGTAAATGTATACATACAGTTATATACATATATAACTATACGTCATCTCTACAATGCTTATGCACATATATGTGTCTACGTGGTTATCCACACACACATATGCTTTTAGATAATCCACATGTATAACATATGTTGTTATGTATATACACACATGTACACATACCGCGTATACAACGCATGTAAGTACATGCACATTACTATGAACATATTGATATTACACATGTTACACAGAGATATCACATATATACTACACATACATGTGCACATTCACATACATAAATGAATATAAACGGAAGCATCTTTTTACTCAAAATTTTCCAATTTAACTGTCTTAAGGCCCCCTGGCCCAGGCCTGGCTGCCACAACTAGAAATATCCACCAGATGGCACTCTTTTGCCACTTCCCGTACTCCCAAGCTTTGCCAGGGGTGACGCCAGAGCTGTCGCCCCTTTCCGCCGAGGCACAAAACTTGCGGAGCCGGTGTAGCCCAGGAGCTTCCCTCTCATTCCCCTACCCAGCAGGGCGGTGGGCGTGTCCTTGGTTCCCAAAATCTGCAATCTCGGCCCCCTCCCAAATCGGGCTCATCCTCTCGGGCCTCCAGGCTTCTGTTGGAGGGGCGGACTCCCCCCTCCGGGCCCCAGTTCTGCTCAGCCCTCAAATCCACCCATGTTTATCAGTGAGCCAAGAGTTGGGCTTCACCCAGACTCTCTCGATTCAGAACAGCGCGGCTCAAGGACCTTTACTAGGAGCCTTCCTAGTAATAAGCAGTCCGATTCCCCACGAAGGCGGAGGAGGGAGTCAGGGTCATTCGTACACACCTGGACACAGCCCCCCAACCCCGGCGTACTCCCGACATCCTGCCCTGGACGGCGAGCTGGGGTCAGCCAAAAGCGGAGGGAATGGCCGGACCCTGGGACCTAGTACCCTCGGCTAGGGAGGGGCTGGTCCCTGTTAACCCCTCTTGCACCAGTACAGTGTAGACTCCCGATCTCTGGTTCGGAGTCGAAAGGAAGGGCATTTGCTCATCTTAAGCAAACCACTTAAAACCCCGGAGCTGGGGGAAGGGGGATGGGACAGAGGTCCTCCCGCCTCCCTGCCTAGGCCACTCCGAGTCAGCTCTCCTGAAACCTCACATTTCGGGTGTGAGCAGCCTCGAACGAAAGACGCAGGGAAAGCTTGAAAACCCGTGGGGAGGCGAGGCCGGGAGTTCTGGTAGCGGCTCAGCTTCCCCTCCCCTTCCCCTCTCTTCCCCCGGGAGCAGCGGGAAATTATTTATTAAAACGCCGCCCGCGCTCTCATTTATTTGCGGTGAATAATCCTCGGCTTCGCAGCGCGTTTATTAAACCTTTCCCGTCCCCGCATTACTTTAATAATAAATCGCGTGTCACTTTCCAGCGACGTTATTAAAGCCCGTCTGCCGAGCAGAGGCGGGGAGGGGGCGGGGTGTGAAGCAGCGGGGATTCCTTCTATTCCAGGCTGTGGGGCCGGAACCAGCAGGGCCAGGAGGGGGAAACTGAGGCTGTAAGGAGCCGGCACTCGAATACTCTACAAAGTCTGCAAAAGCGATCAAGGAGTCCGGACTCCCGGGGGTGCGTGTGACCCTCCTTGGGTCGGGTGGAGCCTCTACGCTGCAGGTGGGCACGGTACTATCAATAGACCCGTCAGGGGGCGCCTTCGAGCACAGCTGGGCGGGAGTCCCTGGCGAAGAACTAGCCAGGGTCGAACAACCCATACCACGTTCCCTCTTCCAGTGCGAAGTAGACCGCCTTTTGGTCCGGACGCCAAAAACACGACCGCCCCCCCCCCCCCCAATCCCTGGCACACCGCTCACATCCCTACTCCGCTTCCGCGGTCGTCTTGGAATTCACCCCAAGTATCGAACCCGCTCCAGCTGCCGAGCGCAGGTCTTGGGGCCGCCGGGCTCTAGACAGGACTAGTCAACCAGAGCTGTCCTCTGGCTTAGCCTCTGGAGGAGCCCTACGGTCCCGCGGGAGAGGCGGCCAAGCCCTCGGGTGGGGATTCCGGACCACTCCCCTCCCAAGAGCCGGGGCTCCCTGCCTTGGGCCCCAGAGGACAAGCTCAGACAACTGAGCCAACTGCAATCTCTCCTGCCGTGGCGCCAGACTCTGGGCGGTCTCCGCGTAGGAGACTGTCGCCATCCACACACAAGATCTTGGCCTCCCGAACTTAAGTTTTCATTTTCTGCTTCACTCAGTCAATAAACACTGGGCTTCACCCAGTAGGCTAGGTACAGCGAGCGTGGAGAGAGGTGTGGGGAGCCAGGAACTGCAGCTCCGGCAGTGACCCCCAGCCAGAGAGGACAACTCACAGTTGGCAGATAAGGAAACAGGCTTACCTGACTTTGGGTTCAGCAAGAAAATGGGTGGATTCCTAAGGGAATCCTAGGGTGCAGCCCATACTCGTGGCCAAGCTTCTCCCCTCCTTCATCCAGTTTGTGCTTTTACACTGGGACCCTACCCACACCGACCTGGTTCCCCACCTGCAGGGGCAGGCAATCTAACTCTAGTCCAGCCCCGATGGAGTGCAGACCGGGAGAATACCCTCCCTCCAAACAGATGGCTTCAGACTTCCTCCCTAAAGGGCAGGGTAGGCCCCAGCTCAAACTTCCTCTCCGTACATCTGGCAGGCATGTGCTTAGGGGCAGGACCTACAGCTTCTGGAAACCAATGCCCTTCTACCATGGAAAGCCTCCCAGGGAAATGTGGTCTTCATGTGCACACCTGCATGAACCACCTGTGCATCTGTGTCTGTTTGTTCAGAAATCTTTATTGCATACCAACTGTGCCTAGTCCTGTTCTAGGAACTGTCCAATATAAAAAACAGTCCTGGCCTCAAATTTTTCAGAAGGACAGAAGTTAGACATGACCAAATGCCCATCTTACTGCACTGACCTAAACCATGCTCCATTATGTTTTTCCAGACAACAAATGCCAACAGCAAAGAGGACTGCAGTTAGTAAGTACAACTGGAACTTAGGTGAGTGGAGGAATTTCTAGGTGAGCTTCGAGGAGGGTAAACTGAGGCTAGGCAAAGGTGAGGGACTAGAAAAATCACAGCAGGAGTTGTGGCAAAGGGTAGATCGGAAGACTGGCTGAGCAGGGCTGGAGGGAAGACTGGCAGGAAAGTGGAGGATCCCAGCCGCCTCTTTGTGTCTGCTCTGCACTCCACCCCCTCACCCCCACCCCCGCACACTCCCACCCAGCCTAGGGTCCAGCAGGCAGCTGCTGTCTTCTGCCTGGTTGCTCCACGTTGGAGACTGTCCCAGCCAGGGCATCTCCTCCATGGGCCCCTTTGCTTCCCACTTCCCCTAGCCTCTGCCTCTCTCCTTACCCTCTACCAACTTTTGTCTCCCTACTTACCACCACGTCTCTCCTATTAAGGGCATTAAAGCAATGAAAGGGCCCTGCTCCCCCTTTTAGGTCTTTTCAAGAGCAGGGATGACTACTATCCCCACTCACCCACCCCCATAGGCCAGGGCTGCAGACCTAGTAGTAATCCTCGCCCTCTTCACTCTCAGCCTCCTCCTCAGGAACCAGATGCAGGGATGGCAGCTGCGGGATGCCTGTGGAGTTCAGCTGGTCTGCAAACACATGTGGGTAAAGGAGAGAGAAAAGGAAAGAGGGGCTGTCAGTCCCCCTAGGCTGGGAGAAAGCCATACTTGTCTGTGCACCCACATGCACATACGCACATGGACACACATTCAAGGGCCTCACTCCACCACCAGTCCCCCCCACACACACACAGGTCCCCAGAGTCCAGGGTTCACCCTTACCTGGTGTGAGCACTGTCAGGCTAGCTGGGGCCTCGACCTGGCCCAGAGCATTGCGGGCCAGGCAGCGGTAGATACCTTCATCGCTGGGACGCACAGCCTGGATCTGCAGCCAGCCTGTCACCTCAAACCTCTGGGGTCCACCCCTGAACTAGAGCCAGAGGAGGGGTCAGCAGGGTCCTTCTAGGGGGACCCTGGGCTGCCCAAAGGAGGCCTCTCCTCTCTCCTACCTGCACTGAGATGTGGGGATCATCCCCTGGTAGCTGAATGTCCAAGCCGTCCTTCCTCCACTCGATGGATGCCATGGGGTAGGCAAACACCTCACAGCCAAAGATCACGTCCTGCCCCGTCACGTTCCAAATGTCATAGGGGTGCAACACGATCTGGGGCTCTGGGGACGGAGGTGGGAGGCCTGAGGACGGGGTGGTACATCCGGCCCCACAAGCAGCCCATATATGAACCATCATGGATGTGTTTGTGGGGAAAGACAATCAACGCGGAGGTGTATGCACATCCATACACATGACAGGTACACACGGGTACATATAAATGTAGGTACAGGTACACACACGGTACAAACAGAAGTGGCGAGGTACATGCAGACAGATGCCACAGCTTGGCAGCCACACTCCATCCCTCATAGCTCCCCTGTCCTCATTCCACCCTCTAGGCCCCTATCCTGCTATACTTGTAACCAACACCTCCCCCTACCCTCCCCTCTTCCTAACCAGGTCCAGTTGCCAAGGACCCGAAGAGCAGCCCTCCCCCAGAGAACCTGAAACCAGATCTGGGCAGCGGGCAGAAAGCCGGCAGTTGTGGGGTAGAGTGTTGGGACCCCATCGGTGTTTGTTTTCCTGGCAGCCCCAGCCAGGCCAAATCCCTCAAAGGGGCTCAGGAAGTGAAAGTGACTAATGCTGCCAAAGGAAACCTGAGGCCTGAATGGCCCTCAGACCCCTGGGATGGGAGGGAGGGGCTGGAAGAGCCCCCTCCTTCACGAATCCTGAGGCACGGAAGAAACAGAAGGGAGGTGGGGAGACTGGGCTAACAGCTTGCTCTACGAATCGAATCCCAAACCGCCCAAGAGAAACCCGATTGCATCTCTCTGGAAGCCAAGTCTCACTGCCTGGGCTCCAGCGGTCTGGGCAAAGTCCGGGAGTCTCTCCGCTCTCTCAGTTTTGAGACCAATCATTGGCTCTGTGCCTGCTCCCTCAGAGGGTTGGTCCCTGCCAGCCGGGTCTGGAGCTTTCACGCGCCTCGGGGCACACAGCTTGCCGACAGAGCTCAGACCCGCGCCTTGCGACGCCGGTCTCTGCGGACCAGCAGCGAGAGCGGGCTCTTATATTGGACTCGAGGACTCCCCGGCCTCATCTTTTTCTCTCCGCCGGCCAGAGACCAATCCAGTCGGAGGTCGGGGAGCAATGCCTCGGGTGCCTCGAGTGCCCCAAGTGCCGGGGGTAGGGCGGGCCGTGCGTACCCGATTCGCAGGGCCCCGGGTGCGCCACCGTGAGGTTGGCGTCGGGCCGAGCGCGGGCCGCCTCCTGGAGGCGGCAGATCTGCGCGTAGGTGCGGCCGTCCGATCCGCAGACCGGGCGCTGCGAGCGGCAGGCACACAGAGGCTCCGGCACCTCTCCGCGGCTCAGGTCGCCGCCCGCGTCCAACCGGCACTCAAGCTGCTCGCCGCAGCGCCCGTAGAAGTGCGCGCTGGGGTCCAGGTCGCAGAGCTGGCCCTCGAGGTTGGCGCACTCCCAACAGCAGCCGCACGCGTCGCGCACCCGGCCGGCCAGGCAGCCCCACGGCTCGGCGCACTCTTCTGGCCGGCAGGGAGCGCAGCCCTCGCCCTCCGCCAGCAGCCGCAGCCAGCCGCGCCGCAGGTAATCGGGGCCTGGGGACCGCGGCGCGCCTGTCGGAGGCGGCGTCCGCACCAGCAGCAGCAGCAGCAGCGAGGGCAGCGCCAGGGCAGCGGCGGGCGGCTGTGGCATGGTTAGCTGGAAGCCCTGCGAGCACTCCGGGCATCAGCGCGATCGTGGCACCCTGCCGGGGAGGGAAGCCAGGACGGGAGGTCAGAAGCAACCTCATTGCTCCTCGTACCAAAGTCTGACCCGAGCACTGCCCCCTCCCCTGACGCCCTCAACACAGAGGCATGGTGACTCTCTAGGAGTCATCCAGTTATTGATTGGACTGTGTTTCTGGGGTGGGGGAGAGATGAGAAGGGTAATAAAGCTCAAGACCAACACACACACACACAACCAGCCGCAGCACCACATACCATCCCACTCTGAAGCTTCCTGCCCTAGAGGTGGATGAGAATTGATGGCCCCAGAACTAAGGAGCTGTTAACAAGGGTGGGAATGGGGAAGAAGTAATGCCCTGGGGCCCAGAGTGCTCACCTAGTGTCAGGACTAAGCCCTTCAGAGCAGCTATGTCTCCGGTCGGAAGAAGCAGGCGGTGGAAAGAAAACAGAGGCCAACAATCGGCTGGGCCTGCCAGCCACCTCTGCTCCGGCTTGAGGATCTCTGAGAGAGCCCACGGACTTGGACTCAGAGAGCAACTCCTCCGCCCCTCTCCCCGCCTCTCGACGTCGCACACAACCCCCTCCCTCCAGTTCTGAAGCTGCCAATTTTATGCAGCCGCGCGGGACCCTCCTGAGCCACTTCCCCTGGCTGGGCCAAAGTCACAGTGAGAAGTGAGAAGTGAGAAGCCGTAACCGGGCACCGAGGCTGGGAGAAGACAAGGGACAGGGTGGGATGGGGGTTGGGAGTAGGGGATATGGGGGTGGCTGGGAAGCTGGAAGAGTTGAGTGAAGGTCGAGGTCTTGTTCCATCGGACTTTACAGTCCCTGGGCTCTGCCAGAGCAGCTGCATAATGGGGAGGCGGTAAGAGCTCTGGTGCCAAGCCGGGTGCTCCTGGAGGGCAGGGCCAACCAACGTAGTCTCCCCGCAGCCCAGGGCCGGCTTCCCCGGGGCTACTGCAGACTTGTCCACCCAGCTTCCCTACCAAGACGCTGACCAGAGACTTGGCGCTTACATCTGCCACCCCACAACTGGCCTCCTCCTCCCTCCCCACATCCGGCAGGTGCTTCAGCCCGCGGGTGAGCGGGTGAGCCGAGTGATTATAGAGGTCCCAGCTGACCAGCAGCCGCAGGGAGAGGTGGGCGGGACGCCTCCCCCGCCGACCTCGCTCCGGGTTGGGATTACGGGTTACATTTGCAAGGCCGGCAGGGCCGGAGGCATTGGGTCTCGCGGCCGCCACCAGCGCCACCGTGGCACTTTGGTTTGGGGGCGGGGAGGAGAGCATTCCCGGAGGCCCGCCCGCCCGCCTTACCGGGGGTCTGCCAGGCCCCGCCCTAGCCTGCCCCAAGCGGCTTACAGAAGCCGCGTTGCAGTCCAGTTTGCAGGGGGCGGAAACTGAGCTTTGCAGCCGGGGAGGTGACGGTATTTAGTCAGTTTCGTCCTAGAAGGACCTGGCCCCCGGCCTAGCGGCCTGGACCTGGGCCTCCTGACCAGTCGCGAAGTTGAGGGCGGGCGACGGCCTCCAGACCGCCCAGGGGGATCGGCTCCGCATGCGTATTGGAGGGCTGGAGAGTCGAAACTCCCGGATGCGGTCCAGGACTCTCCCTCCGGACCTGAACTCTGCCAAGCCCTTTCACTTAGGGGTCCCCTAGCCGCGTGCACGTCACTCCTGGCCGGGGGAACTCTGACGAGGTGGGCGAAAGCAGATACACACAGTCCCCCTGGCCTCCAAGACTCAAGGACAGGGAGCGAACTTCACGCGAGATCTCGCGACTGTCGCGAGAATCAGAACAGGAAGTCTAGGAATTCAAAGCAGGAAAGGCCCGCGGGTTTCAAACAGGAAAAGGAGTGGGCGGAGCCAGCGATTGCTGATAGTTGTGGGTAATCCCTTGTCCTTGGCATTGGGGTCAACTGAAGCGTTGACCTAGAGCAGAAGTGAACTGTAAGAGAACTGCAGGAAGCCCTGAACAAAACGGGGGAGCGGGGTAGGAAGGAACATGAAATTGCGGAGCTGACCAATGGAGTCACTCAAGGATGTTTCTGACTCTGAATTACAAAATGCCTTGAGGGTGGAGATCACTTCCAGTATACCAGGCGGAAGCCGTCGGGCATCTCATAATGAATTGTTACCGGCTTCTAAGACTTGGAGCCAGGATTTAAAACAACAAACTCCCCAGACCTAGAAACTCTTCACTTACCCCACTTTATTGTACCGTCTGTTTACTTTCAGTCTTTGCTATGCTCTAAGTGTTTGGTATTAGGAATCGTGCCTAACTCTTAACTGTATCTTGTGCACCTGGCCCTGCGCCTGGCAGCACAGTAAAATCTCGGTAAATATTTGTGGATTAAATATGAAAGACTTCCTGTGTGTGAAAGTCAAGTTTAATTTGGGTTTTCTGAGTCGCTGATTGAAGGCTGGATAGACGGGGAACGAGCGCCCTCTGGTGGGCTTGCGGTTGGTGACAATAACATGACCGTGCATACAGTAGGCACCGAAGATGTTGACTATACAGATCTTTTAAGTAAAAATTTGTTCCACATATTATAAAAATATTTTTAAAATATGTAAAAAAAATACCACATATTGTAAAAATATTTTTATAAGGGAATTTTTTGCAGAAGACAATTTGAAAGTCTAGATATGTTCCCAAATCCCCATCATCTGACACTATCCATTCAGACTGCAAAACACATTCAGTAACATCTATTCCCATACAATTTTTGCATATTCATACTTTGAAAATGTTGGCTCAGTTTGGGTCATGCAAGACTGTTGGGCCACAAGAAAAGGATTCTCTAGTTTAGATAATGTGAGTACTGCAAGGAGAGAAGCCAGGTGGCAGCAATCCTTTGCATCTAGGTGAGGGAGACTAGATTCAGATGAGGAGAGTGAAGTTAAAATTTCTTGAAGAACAGATAGTCCTGCCTCTTTCTCCTCCCCACCCTTGACTGTAGATGCTTGTACTGGAGAGAGAATGAGATATAGAATATAGTTTGCTTTCCACTGTGGATCATAGGCTGGAGTTCACAGGTTATCATATCTTCACCTTCTTTCAGCCACTGACCCATGAAATAATTGTTAAATATAATGACAGAATGAAATGGGCCTTATACAGATGAACAGCATAAGATGAAAAAAGGTGTAAAGGATCAGTGAGTAACTTGGTAAGAAATTACTTGGGAAGGGGGCACCTGGGTGGCTCAGGCTCAGGTGGTGATCCTGGGGTCCTGGGATAGAGCCCGGAATTGCAGGTAGCCTCCTTCTCCCTCCCACTCTGCCTGCCGCTCTCCCTGCTTGTGCTCTCTCTCTGTGTGTCAAATAAATAAAATATTTAAATAAAATTAAATCTTTAAAAAAATTACTTGGGAGGACCACACATTCACTTCATGAACGCTGTTTTGACACAGCTGGTGAAAATAGTGGGGTTGCAATTTTGATGAAGAAGCAGAAGTGAAACAAATGGTCTAAATCAACCCATTAGAAATGGACACAGAAGAACTGTGCTTCCTGTGAACATTAGAATCACTTAAGTCAAAAAAAGCTCAACATAGATAATTGAGATGGAATAGTTTGTAAATACCTACTATAGGCGAACTTAGTCAAAGTGAAAAATATGTATAGAAAGGTAAGGTTAAGTAAAAAGGAGAAATATATGGATACTCTTTATCATACATATCATCAATAAACACCCTAAGAGGTGCCTGGATGGCTCAGTCGGTTAAGCGTCTGACTTTGGCTCAGGTCATAATCTCAGAACCCTGGGATCTAGCCGGCTTGGCGGGGAGTCTGCTTGTCCCTCTCCCTTTCCCTCTGCCCCTCCCTCCCACCTCTCCCCCAGGCTCATGCTCTCTCTCAAAAAAAATTAAATTAATAAATAAAATCTTAAAAAAAAAACACCCAAAGACAATTTGAAATGAGGCAAATGGTTGTGTATAATGCTCACTATTCCTTTATTTTGTAAAATTATTTTCCATAATAAAAAAGTAGAGGCTATTTTTATAGGTAAATTAGGATGTTGAGATAAATTTAGAAAGATGGGCCAGCCAGGTGGGAAGAGAAACATAATTCAGCTACAAATAATGTTACCAAATGAAAGCTGGAATACCCAGGAGACTAGCTGTCTGGAATATCTGTAGGCATTAAGTCAGATTAAATGAGCTTTAAGGCATGCAGAGAAAAATCAGGTGAAAATTTCTTTACTTTACTTTTCCTATATCCAAAGAGTCAACTCTCCCACTCCACCCTCCAGTGTCCCATCCACCTTTGAGATGGAGAATGTAGCTCCATCTGACCTGATAACTTGGCCGTTTTTTGTATTAATAAACTTAGAAAGGATGTTAATTTTTTTAAGATTTTATTTATTTATTTGAGAGAAAGAGAGAACAAGCAGGCGGAGGGGGAGAGGAAGAGGGAGAAACAGACTCACTGCTGAGCAGGGAGCCCTATGAGGGGCTCGATCCCAGAACCCTGGGATCATGACCTGAGCCAAAGGCAGACACTTAACTGACTGAGCCAACTGGGTGCCCCGAAAAGGATGTTTAAATCATTTAGACTCTTTCTACATTTCTTGTTCTCTTTTTGTTTTAACTTTTTTTTCCATTTTGAAGTATAACAGACAAGGAGAAAAGTGCACAAAATAGAGATATAGTTCAATTAATTATTATAAAATGAATACTCATGTGATCATCACCCAGGTCAAGAAATAGAACATTGTTAACTCCCAGAAACCCCCATCATGTCCCATCACAACCATTAATCCCTCCTTTTCCCCCAGATAACCATTTCTAATTCTGTATTTTAATTTTACCTGGTTTTGACCTCTATGTAAATTGCAATACACCTAGGAATGGAATTGCTCCTTCCTGTGATACATGCTCTCAACATTAGTAGTTATTACCAAACCATTTTTCCAAAGTGACTCTATCAATTATAGTCCCCAGCAATTAATGAGAGCTCCCATTGTGCCACATCCTTGTCAACACTTGGTATTGTCAGTCTTTTAAATTTTAGCCATTAAGTAAATATTTTAGAGCCTAAGATTCTTTTTTTTTTTTTTAAAGACTTTATTTATTTGACAGAGAGAGACACAGCGAGAGAGGGAACACAAGCAGGGGGAGTGGGAGAGGGAGAAGCAGGCTTCCCACCAAGCAGGGAGGGAGCCCGATGTGGGGCTTGATCCCAGGACTCTGGGATCATGACCTGAGCCGAAGGCAGACGCTTAACAACTGAGCCACCCAGGCACTCCAGAAGGCTTGTTTTTAAAGAATAAATATGGGGGCACCTGGGTGGCTCAGTTGGTTAAGCGCCCATCTCTTGATCTCAGCTCAGGTCTTGATCTCAGGGCTGTGAGTTTAAGCCCCATGTTGGGTTCACACTGAGTGTGGAGCCTACTTAAAAATAAGAAAAAGGGGTGCCTGGGTGGCTCAGTTGGTTAAGCGTTGGAGTCTTGATTCTGGCTCAGGTCATGATCTCAGGGTCATGCGATCCAGCCTCCTGTTGGGCTCTGCGCTCACTGGGGAGTTTGAGATTCTCACTCTCTGCCCCTCCCCTCTGTTCATGCACATATGCTTGCTCTCTCTCTCAAATAAATTATTATTTTTTTAAAAGATTTTATTTATCTGACAGAAAGAGACACAGCGAGAGAGGGAACACAAGCAGGGGGAGTGGGAGAGGGAGAAACAGGCTTCCCACTGAGCAGGGAGCCCGATGTGGGGCTTGATCCCAGGACCCCGAGATCATGGCCAGTCCACAAGGATTCCTCCCCTGGATTTTTAAAAAACTTTATTTTGAAATAATTTAAAATTTGCCTAGAAGTTTCAAATATAACACAGGAAGTTCCCATGTACCCTTACCCATCCTACCCCAAAGATAACATTTTATATAACCATAGTATGATTATCAGAACCAAGATTTTAAACATTATTTATTTTAGGAGGGGTGGGTGGGAAGAAAGGGCAGAAGGAGAGGAAGAGAGAGAATCTCAAGCAGACTCAGCGCTAAGCCCAGCACGAGGCTCGATCCAACAACCCTGAGATCATGACCTGAGCCAAAACCAGCAGTTGGATGCTTAACCAACTGAGCCACTCAGGTGCCCCATAAATTGCTACATATGCTATTAACTACTAACCAAATTATGGACGTTATTCAGATTTCACCAGTTTTTACATGTATTTGTATGGGGTGTGTGTGTGTGTGTGTGTGTTTATAATTGAAAAGTTTTTAAAGATTGTATTTATTTATTTGACAGAAATAGAGCCAGAGAGCACAAGTGGGGGAAATGGCAGAGGGAGAGGGAGAAGTAGGTTCCCCTCTGAGCAGGGAGCCCGATGTGGGGCTTGATCCCAGGCCCCTGGGATCATGACCTGAGCCAAAGGCAGATGCTTAACCATCTGAGCCACCCAGGCACACCCCCTATAATTGAAATTTTATCACATGTATAGGTTTGTGTGACCATAAGGTAAATAAATGGGTCTTTTCGGGTATGAGGGACTAAATCTCATACCAAGGGAAAAGCTTGTAGAATCTATAATAGTAGAACAGGGGCACCTGGGTGGCTCAGTTTGTTGAGCGTCTGCCTTCGGCTCAGGTCATGATCCCGGGGTCCTGGGATCAAGCCCCCACATCTGGCTCCCTAGTCAGTGGGGAGTCTGCCTTTTCCTCTCCATCTGCCTCTCCCCCAGCTCGTGCTCTCCTGTCTCAAATAAATAAAATATTTTTTAAAAAGATTTATAATAGTAGACCAAATGCCATTTAATA